TCACAGTTGCTGGAAGGGAGCAGCGTTTTTAATAAAGCTGCGTTTCTTTTTGCCTCGTGCTCCGCTGGACGAGTCCTCTGACTGCTCTCCTACCAGCCCCCCACCCACCATCCCCCTTCTCTCTCTCTTTTCAGCCATTTCTCTCTCCATCGTAGCACTGGGCTTGCAGGCTGTAAATCACAATTAGGAGGTTCATTAGATATGGCTGATTTATTAAGACCCAGGGCTTGTCTCTGGGCCTTTCAGCCATATATTAGCTGACTACAAGATCTCATACATAGTTATGAGACATGCTGTTTACTGTATGGCACATAGGGTCATATGCCAATAGACATTAATTATTGAGTAAGACTCCATAGGTTAAATTAATAGCGTCCAGATGATAATTTATTTGCATTTGTATATTTTTTCTGCAGTGATGCCTGTACACAGCACTTTTGACTGCATATCTAAACGCGTATCTTTCAATAACGACAAATTGGCAACAGCATCAAAAATCTGTCTCTATTATCAGCAAGTGATCCAGCATTTGAAAGGGAGCCAAGCATTTTGGAGCCTCATCCAAGGGCTTTAACAAACATACTCCAGAGCTGCTTGCCCTCTTGAATACGCACACATAAATTTGGACTGTGTTCATATCACAGTTACTCCAGTCTTAAGTGTCCCTGGCTCACATAATACAGCTTTGTTTCCTCTGTAAATCAAAGTGCATTTATCACACCGCGTATCAGCTACTGTCAACAATCACCTGTAAACACAGGACCAAGATAAGGTGGTGTATATACTCTACAGCTGCCTGAGTGAGCAATAGAATATGTGTACAAATACCCAATTTTCTGACCTGCTATTCCTCTTCTGCCAAATTTGAATGATTGAGTTCAGTAAAGTGCATTAACATCAGAAAGGCATAGTAAAAACATCCTGAAACTGTAATCAACAGCTTTTGATTTCCAAAAGGCTGCATCACAAACTAGGCCTGCATCCAAAATCATTACTCTTTCTCTCTCTTTATTTCTTCCTCTCCCACATACCAGCATGCCCGCTCATCCCCTGGCACCTTATGGGCCAGATCATTGAACCTCAAGGGGAACTATAGAAATAGTTCTGGATTAGTTACAGCTTGAACAGGTAAGCTCCGACTTGTTCAGGCCTATTTATAGTGAGTGTGAAATCCTATTGTTAAGAATAGAGGAAGGTTTACAGACACAGAATGGATGGGAAGACGAGGTTGAGAGAAAAACAGTCTTGGCTCAGACGCAACCCTTCCTGTTCTTAATCTAGACACTGATCTGGTCGGAGGTGAGATCAATTAGACCAAGTCTAATAACAAATGTCTGTAAGGTCAAATAAAGATAAACATAACATAAAAAAATCTGTCTCAGGTGGGGTTTTTTTTTTAAAGAAACAATAAGATTTGGCCGATGCTATGATTACTTTTGGACATACAATTTTCTCAACTTTATTAAAAAATAAATTGTAAAAATCACCAGCATTTTGAAAGTTACAGTGTGAGATTTGCACCTTCTGCAGAGGGACTCGGATTCATATTAGGGCTACACCTAACAACTATTTTCATTATTGATTTATCTGCCAGTTATTTTCTCAAGTAATCGATTAAGCATTCGGTTTATATAAAGACCCATCACAACTTCATCTTTAAATTGATTGTTTTGCCCAACCAATAGTTCAGAACCCTAAGATATTAAATCAGAAAACCAGCAAAGACATTTTAGAGGCTAGAAGCTATGTATTTTTGGGTACTTTTGCTTAATAAAATTGTCAAAGTAGTTGCTTGTTAAATTTCTGTTCATCAACAAATAATTTTGCTCTAATTTGCATGCACACTCAATATGCAACCAACTTCTTACCGTTAACTGCTGCATGCATTTACAGTAAGACGTTGGTTGCATGGTGTAATTAAAGTTATCAAGCACAGGCATGTATCCTCACACACACTTTCCTCTGGCTGACTGGTGGTATATGACTAATTGACGGTGACAGAAAACAAAGGAGAAGATTAGGGGATTGAGTGTGTGACACACAGCCACAGGTCAGAAAGAGGTTTAGTCTCTAACTGTGATTATGGACGGGCAGGTGTCAGCAGAGGACAGCCGACACCTTTACACCCTGCTGTGCTGCTCGCTCCAGTCCCAGTGGGTCAGGTCTGCTGAGTGCATAATGTGCACATAACGGCGTAGAATTCCAAGACATCAACGTGCCTCACCATGAGCACCATCAATTCTAATTCAGGTGCATTTGCTGAGCAGACAAAAGCAGAAGTGATGAAACTCTGCAGAAGAGCTTTAGTGTAAAGGTGACATGAACTCTTTGGATGTGACAACTCCAGTCAGAACAAGCCCATGCTTGATAAACCTGACATAGACATTAAAATCCAGTCAAAACCAGCCATTATGTTCCATTTCCATTTCATTTTGATGCTTGTTGCTTCATGTCGCTTCATGCCTTGTCGTTAACTAAAAGCATTCTATTGTTAAAGTGAAACAAATCCTTGAATTTAAATTCATGGAAATAGCTCTCACATCTAGGTATGAATTACTGATCAATTGTCCACTTGTTGTCTTGTGAGCTCGGAGAAACACTGTCATTACTTTAAGTTGTCCAGCCTCTTTATCAGCGTAGCCTCTAATTGCTTGACGGCTCAGTTGATTTTGAAGCTAACCAGGAGCGATGTCATCCCTCTGCGCTCCCTACAATGGGGCTCATTGGATTAAGTTCGAGCAGGCTTTGTTAAAAGCTGGTGCAAATCTAATCAAGGAAGAGACCTCAATTATGCTAGCATGTACTTAAATGATCAGATCACTAAAAATGGAGGAGGGGGTTGGCCAGTGTAGGAATGCAATCAGCAGCCATTAAGGCCAGTTAATTTTGGCTGATGGCAGCTTTAAAATGAGATGCTGTTTTTTTTTTTTTTTTACTGTAATGAGCATACTGTAATTATGAGGATGCGGTGTTGTTGGTGTTCGGTAGGAAGCTGCATTCAGGGTCAGTAAAATAGTGTTCACAAATGGGAAGCTACCACAAGCCCCTTCAGAAACAGGTGTTGCAGCAGAAACACTGTTGAAGAGGTGATGCTTTGTGTCCCAACTTTCCTTCTTTCTACTTACATAGGCAGCAACTCAAGCTATTTTAAACCCTTCGCTTTTTAACGAAGCTTGCTGAAAAGCTGAGAAAAATCACCACGATCTAAGGACCAGGTGGCATTCCCCTGTAGCTCAGAGCACAACAGCTGAGATTGACCCTGACCTCTGACCTCCATGACCCATGACAGTTAAAACAGGAAGCAATTATCCTGAATGTCAGCGAGTCTGGTGGCATTCCTCAACAGGAGGCCAAAAGTCCGAGCAGATAACAGTTGTCACCGGAGTAAAAAGAGAAAAGACGGGTTCAAACAGGCAGAGAGACTGTAAGTGTCGTTGCACACATACACACAAGCTGTGTTTCTGTCCAACTTTTTTATTGCCAAATGTGAAAGCTGAGTGGAAACGTTTCTTAGAATCATATAAATCCTTTCACACTTTTTTTTCCTATGAAGATTTCTTTCACTAGCAGCTGAAATACGCTGAATTATCTGACTGGCTATCTTCATTTCACAACATTTCAGCACAAAGAATGTTGATATATTGTAGTTTAAATTGTTGCTAAACTAAACCTATTTTGTAACAATTACTGATGAAGTCTTGTTTCTGCAGATGTGATATCTGCAGTTCAGAAATAATTATTTGCTAATGGAATTGCATCATAATAACAGCTTTTTGAATATTATCCTATATTTAGTTTTTTGCTTCATTCATCATAGCAGGTTACACAACTCATCACTAAGTCTAGTGTCACGGTAAGAGAATTCAAGAAACACATTTACTCTCACTTCACTGCAACATTTCCCCGTTCTCCTCCAAATTCAGTCTTGCCAGCTCCCCGTGTACTACAGTACCCTCCACTGCCAACTCCTTGCCTGGTGTGTGTTAGTGTGTGTGTATCATGTGCTTTTTCTGAACTATCAGCACCTCCATGATCAGCACCAGAACTGCAGTTGCCAGCCATTTTTTTTACATCAGAGGGTTCATACAAAAGCGTGTCGTGTGAGAAGTTGGTTTTATGTCCTGGTAACAGAAAATTGGAGGTATAATGGGAATACTCTCTTGTCAGGCAGATGAGGGAAACCGATGAAGACATGCTAACCTCAGGATGCCTGCTGATCACTTCACATCTGGTCTATTACATATGTCCATACACCATCCACTCACTCACATCTCCTTTCACACTCTCACAATGTATGTGCTGCACAACGCATTTGTGGGCAACTACAAAAAATACACATTTAAGACACTTGTTGCACAAACTAAAAAAATGGGCTGGATTGGCATTTTAAAACTGTCCATTCTCCATCATTAATGTCTCATGACACCTCTTGAATGTAGAATAAATGATACTTTAGTATTGGGGGTTTGACTATCTTATCCAGGCATCTCAACTCATCACCAAGAGCAACATGTCATAATGGGATGTTCAGCCTTCCTGTCTTCGCACATTTCACCCTCTAAGTAACTGACACAGTTGCCTAAAAGTATATGATTTCAACTATGCTTTTTGGAAAACAAGATGACCTGGGAAAACCCTACATAAAGGAATAATGATTTGACTCCTGCCTCAGCTTTTGTGGAGTCCCTCATCATGTTACCCACAGATGCTGCAGAGGCCAGCAGGCACCACTGTCCACCTCTAAGTAGGTGTGTGAGTGTGTGTGTGTGTGTGTGTGTGTGTGTGTGTGTGTGTGTGTGTGTGTGTGTGTGTGTGTGTGTGTGTGTGTGTGCAGTGGCCTCCATGTGAAGCTGGGTGTTGCTGAAAAGGAGCATGCACCCCCTTAGAGTACCCTTTCCCTGGATAAATCAAAGGTTAAAATGTAGATCCATCCTCAGGCTGATCTCCTCCTTCACCTCCCTCCTTTCTCACTCTGCCTCCTCATCTAGCCTGTGCATTACCTCATCAGAGGAGGATCTGCCTAAAGCCGCAGCGGTCACACAACAGACAAAAGCGCTCATCTCCAGGAAGCCGCTGCCGCTGCCTGTGGTTTTGGAGAGAGGAGAAGAGAGGGGAAAAAGTGACTCAGCCCCACGGCTCCTTTCTTCTCTCTGCCGACTTAGGGATAAACGGAGGGATAAAGCACAGGGGGAGATAATATTTACAGCAGGCCCCATTTCAAGGGCAATAGAAGAGAGAAAGTGGGGTATGAGCTTGGGTGGTTTGGGAAGTAGCCACGAGGGTCGGTCTATACTGTTACTGGCAAAGAGCCTTGCACCGTGGATTAATGTGTAAGTGGGGAGGAACCGCTGCTGGCCCGGCCCTGCCTTAAAGGCCCGGCCACTGCAGCTCCACGAGCCTCTTCAAAGCAAACCAGATGGGCCTCAGACGGGATGTTGATGAGGCATGAGTGTGCAAAACACAAACATGCATGCAAGCACAAACACAAATAAATTGACACAGACACTGCCTGGAAAACAACTAAATGCATACCACACAAACATATGTACTTGTCGCATATGTGCTGGTGAGCTGGCACGCATGAATAAATGTGCTGACTTGAAGTGTGGCCGAAGAAGATCGCTGAAGTTCAGCTCCATTTTCCCGCAGCTAAATTGAGCTAATTTCTGCAAACCGGCGAGGCATTCTGTCCAAGACCTAAGTGGACATTTCATATGTGTGGACAAATCAGATCAATTAACTAAATGTCCAAGCTCAAGAGGACATAGTAGCTCACTGTTAACATAAGGTTAAGTACTGAGAAACTACACAAAATGATGTTAGACACTGCCCATTAGCAGCGTGGATTTATCTTACACTGTAACGCAGTGAAGTTCACATACGAAGCTGAAGTAAAAAGCAGAGAAGGACATTGTTTTTGGGGAAACCAAACAGGTAACCTCAGTGAATACATTAGCTCATTAGCTCATTAGCTTACCACAAATCAGCCCAATGACTGCTTGCTGTCTGGTCCCTTTTCTAACCCTTTGCAAATGACTGCCATTACAGCAACCATGTAACAACAGAGCTGTGCAGAAAGGCCAGTAATGATGTATGAAGTGGCTGAAATCTTTTCTCACAGCTACAATACAGCTGCATTTAATACTTTGCAGGCTTTACATTTATATCTATAAATGCCATGCTAGGCTAACACATTGTGTAAATTTAGGGCTAAATGAGCTGTGAACTTATTCTACAAATGGAGCACAAAACAGATTTTGGATGCACAAATAAAAATCTGGATCTAGTTCTCCACACTCTATAAAGACACTGTAACCAATATGAACCTGTTTAAAGACAGATTTTGTCAAATTGTCCGGTGATGTCAGATCATCTAAAACATTAGTCATAGATACACCCCAGCTCTTCTGATCAAAGCCGTTATATACGTATAGTACAAGTCAAGGACAGCGCACAGCAACCTCTTCCTTCCAAAGTCCAATAAAACAAAGATACCATAAATTGTTGCTGTCACGATACGTTCGGTACCCTATAAAGACTGTAATTTTGTTAGGAGGGTCCACTTGTCATCTTACCGCCATGTAATTAGATTTGAAAAGTAACTGCATGTTAAAAGACACAATAATGTGATTTCAAGTTTCCAGATGAACTGATGAAATTAAGGGAGTTTGATGGAATTAAAAGTAGGCCTAAGTGGTCAGGTTTTCCCCAATCATGACACAATTCCTTTCCTCAAATGCAGACTAGACAGGAGAAAAAAATGTATGAGGCCTGTATTAATTACTGATGTTTGCATTATTTTATTGCTGTTCAGTGATAAAATATCATCTTCCAAAAATATCTGTCACCAGACATTTCACCAGTTAGTTGCTCTACATCAATTCTGAACGTATTTGACTTATGAACCCTTGAAACAAAGCTATGTCTACTTGCAACATCACATCTGTCAGCGGGTTATGCCCAGTTCAAACTGTAAATCCTCCTCAGATTATTATATTTGAATACTTTTAGAGTCATGAAAAGAAAAAAAACCAATAATTCACAAGAAAAAAATCCAAAGATCTTTCACTTATCTTGTGACCCCTTAATGGGGTCTCGACCCCCAGACTGTGATAAAAGACGATTTACACGAGAAATAAATCTAGTCTTTGAAACTGAACTCCCCGACCAACCAGCAGGACACAGATTATTAACCACAACAAAACACTGAAGCCTGTCTGTCCACTGTGCGAGCATGTTGCGAGTGAAAATCAAACTGGGCACTTGGTGACCTAGCAGTGACACGGCTCAAGAGCCACTGGAGAGGGCCTTAATAAGTATTCTTAAACAGGGGGATTAGCCAGATGGCCAGATCACTCTTTTCTCCAACCTCTTCCATCTGTACATTTCATATGTCTCCTGCCTCTGCTGAAACCATTGAGATCAGTCACTGCGACCTCACCAGCTTAATTTAGGCTAGTGTTACCTACAGCACTATTTGACTCCAGATATAATCTTTATTGCTCACAGAGAGAAAGTCCTTTAAAAGGCATACTGTAAGTCTCAGCGCTGAAAGGTTCCTGGAGTGATGCCTGTGAGAGTCTTTAAAAGACCCCTTTCTTCACCCAAGTGAAAGCAGCTATTGAGGGTGCACAGGGCAGAATACTAACTGGAGTGGAGGTCTGCATTTGCTGTGAAACAAATCAAAAGCGTTCTGTATGTGCCGATGGAGAGGAGAGAGGCAGTGGACATGCACAGAGTCAGCTACAGTTTTGCTTACATGGACTAACACACACACACACACAGACACACAGACACACACACACACGCAAAAATGTGCAAAATGTGGTGTGTTCGAACACACACAGCAAGAGTTGCTCCATTCTGTATGGAGGAAATAATGACGTGTTCTTTATGAAAGATTATTATCTGCCATTTGGTGGAAGCAATCATCCAAAGTGCCAAACAACGGCACAAAGGCATACAATCTGTCAGTGTTACAGTACAAGTACATAAATATCATCTGTGTCAATCAATTAAGGAAACTTACAGAAATAAGAGACTTCAACTCCAACACCCTCTTCTCACTTTTGGATGACTTTAAAATTCATGAACGTCCCCTGGAAAAGAGGAAAACAGAAAGAAAAAAGATTATTACCATTGTGTAGCATGTTTGTTATCATCCATCCGTGTCATTTCACCCTAATTACAAAGAAGAATGTTTTGCCACTAACATCCAGTGGTATCTAGCCACACAGATAGTTTTGAAATGTCTGTTTCAGATTTCTTCCTCTAAGCCAATACCATGGAGGTGAGAGGAAATTCATTTTACAATAGCGGGACAGTATTTGTGGAAAGAGATGTTTCTATAAACATTTTCAAATGCTGGGAGCACTAAAAACTAAATTCCATTCGCTCAGAGACAGACATTTTAAAGCCATAGGTAAGTGTAAGTAAACCAACATTTTGGGTGAATTTAAAGGAAAATCGTCTTGCCATAGGAATCAGGATTCATTTTCATGAACACTGACCAAATTCTTCACATCCGGCCAACAAATTTGAGGTTTGACAAGGTATGAAAAATTGAATTGGAAACTGTTTTTGGAGCTCAGTGAATGCACTCTAAGCCCACCTGAGGTCCCTCTGTAGTGGACGTTCAAGACAGAACAGAGGTCCTGTGTGAAGTCCACAGCAGAGGCAACAGAGGATCAGTGTATCTCTCACACAGCGCTTTTACTGCATAAACACCGGCACACACTCAGCCACGCAAAGCCTAACAAACGACAAACAGCGTGATTCTTGTACGCAGCTTTGAAGTCTTGGCTGCAATCTGTCTTAATACAATTAGTGATGCCTGATATTTTCTTTCAGAAATTGATTCCAACGAGAGCAGGAAAAAAAAAATCACTCTCACCAGATGGACATCCTGGGCTGCCTGGCTTAAACAGACCACTCTGAGAGCTAACCTGGGGTCAGCCTTATTATAGCCTCACACGCACACAAGCACACACTACAAACAGCCATTTGCTAAACCAGGGGTCATAGAAAACAAATAACAACATCAAAGGGGTCAAACTGATCACGGAGCGCTTTGAAAGTACCATGTTCAGGACCGGATCACTGTGAGTGGGCCCCAAATTGAGAGATGACGGGAGCTAGTCTAAATTGAGAGTGGGAGGCTGCTAATTAAAGAAATAACTGAACTGGATAAGGAGGGACTTAAAGAGAGAGACTGTATTCACACAGACAGGCAACAAAACACAGCACAGCAGCAGTTCTCCAACACTATGCATCATAACGGCGCCTTAACACAGTATCTAAGTTGTACAAAGAGCGCAATACAAACACCCCTTTGATTCCACAATTTGAGGCTAATTGAGAACAATGAAGAAAAAAGCAAACACTGGGCATGTATGATCTTTTATTCATGTCTTTAATCATCCAAATGATTCTCTCTGGGATGCATTTTTTCTCTCAGGGCATAATTAAGGGCAATTCTGACCAGAACAACTCAAAGGCTTATACAGTAAGAAGTTCTTGTGATAATAATAATGATAACAGATAGTCGGCAAAAAACACACTTGTGTGAAAAATCCAAACATTCATCTAAGATACAACTTTTTTTTTTTTTTTTTTTTTGTAGAAGAAGCAATATTGCCCAACAAAATTTGAAAAGCCAAGGACTCTAAAAGCCACCTTTTCAATCAAACTACTGTGAGTTGGAATCCCTTGAGCACCATACACACTCTGCGACTCTCGATGACCCGTCTGAACACGTTCCAGATGTCTGCAGAACCAGTTATTCTGTTTCCTCTCCTTTTTTACCCCCCTCTCTTCCCTCCATTCCTCCGCTCCACACGCCCTGCCACTCATCTGCAGATGGCAGATCTGACACCTGGAGGATGCTGGGTAATCAGAGAGACAACTGGCTGCCCAGTAGAGGAGTTGCCGCAAAAGCACACATGCTCTCTTAAACACACACACACACACACACACACACACACATATTCAACGGCAGGCTTGTATGCACTCGCATTCACACTAACATGCATGAATTCTGAAAAAAACAGCCTGTGCATTTCTGCACACAATGACATGTACATATATATAAAAACTGTATAAACTACTGTATATGTAAAGTGCACTTCCACTTTGCTAATGTGTAGAATGAAGGTGTTGTGCATGGTAGATCATGATAATGCAATCTTAAATAATAAGACTAACTGTGCAGGAGTGGTACCATATTGCAGTCACTGAGGGTGTGGCAGGAGAATTTATGAACATAGATTTCAATACCTGCCCCTGTAGATTTTCAAGCTCCTACGTGTATATTAACCCTCTGTGAGCTGCAACGTCCATACTAATGAGGTTTTTTTTTTTTTAAACTTGGGCCTGAGAATTTCCCAAGCAGAGACACAGAAATGTATAAAGTCAGACAATAATTCAGTGTTTCTTTGGGCTTTAAGTGGAATCATCATCACAATATGATCAAAAATGAATGAAAGTACACTGTAAAAGGTTTTGTCGTTTTCTTTCTGGTGTAAAACATGTTAAACACAGTTCTTCAGCTGAATATCACTGTTATCAATTTATGTTGTTTTGCAGCTGACGCAAGAAAGAACTTCTACACCCTAGAGCCTCGACACGCCATTTAATTATGGGATTTTGCAAATATTTACCATATTGTGAGTAATATCATGATTTTTATCTCAGCCATAATACGTGACCCTACTACAAGGTGATTTCACAGACACAAAGAATAAAAAAGAGAGATGTTCTTATGGAAGTAGATGAACTGCATCACTGCGTTACTGGTCACTGGAACCATTCAACACTGCAACAGATCTAAAAAGACTGACACAGACTCGTTTATACAACAAGCCCACACAAACAATTTCTTCTTGTTTTAGTGTTGCTTTTGTTCTTTATCCTTTACATACTCACTCTTAAAAGCGCATATTTTTTTATATTTATCCACCCCACTCTCTTGTTCACGCTTTCCCACATGCCCAGTCTCAACTACTTCTCTTCTCATTCACCTCTGATGGGGAGCTGACATAGGAGACCCAGGGTATAAAGCCATTCCAGGCTCCTCCTGACAACTGCAGGAAGTAACAGCTACCTTTTTGGCCCACTGTCTAACAGCTGTAAAATGGCACATGTTACCCTACCGCTGAGCCAGCAACAAAAAAAAAAGCACCTATCTGGAAAAGACACTTAGAGCAACAAAACGAAAGACCAGAGACTTGCTTTTGGCAAAGGCAAAGCCGTGACTTCATAGTTACAGATAGTAACAAGAGAGCTGAGAGATATGGTGCACGACGAGGAGGTCGTTATATTAAGAGCAATGCCTGCACCTGCACAATGAATGCGCGCATTCACGCAACAAAATATGCACAGTCCCAAATGTTGTCTTGTTGCAGCTGTCAGTGCCACTTGTGCAGACGCGGACACACTGGAGTAAGAACAATGGAACTCTATGAGACAGAAGCACTCTCAATGAGCTTAGCACCACATGAGGCTCTGTGTTGCCACTTCCATGTCTGCACCATAGGAAACGAAGTATGGTTCCAACTAATCATATGGGCAATTAAACCAGAATGAGGGTTCACTTGACCCATAAATGATGAGCTTATAGCACACGTTGACTCTCAGAGGACCGCTGGCCGTGTTGTACGGACCTCGTAATGTTTTTGTTGCTATCTCTCTGTGTTTTCTCTCGAGGGCTGCTAGCGAGCTATTTAACTTCCGATTATCACTGAGCTATTACTTTTCTGCATTTCACACTTGATAGACAACTTGATGACCTGACATACTAGATCTAGTGTTTTAGCCCAAAGCTTGCACTTTGATCAGAGCTGCCAGATATCAATCCTATTTCCTACAATGTTTATATAGTACTAATTTGCTTTGACAAATATGTTTTGGAGAAATATATGTAATTGCTGTCTCAATTACATTCACTGGAAATGTTTGTTCAATTCCTAATGTGTGACATCACTAAGAAACAAACTTGAACGATGTGCTGTCCGACAAGGCATCTTTTCCCAGAGACATTCATGGTGTTGCGCTCGTTTATATATATGAAGAGGGAGAGAAATAGCTGTGAAGAGACAGAAGTTCAAATCCTGCATACTCTCTCACCTCCACACACCTAGTCAATCTCTGTGTGAAGTGGGCAGTGGTTGTGGGATAGTTTGGGAAAGTTTCAAAATGTTTCAGATGCAGTCCCCCTCAATTCTGATATAAAAAGGTGTGGTAAGTTGGGGTTTCTCACACTGTTTGAGCACAAGCATATCTCTTTATACTGGACAGAGGTCAGCTGGTGGTTGATTGGTTGGATGTGCAAAGTACAGCAGGACTTTGATCACATGTGTGGTTGGACTTAGGCTGCTAAAAAAAAGTTGCTTAAGGTGAGGGAAAGATAAAGTTTCAATATGAATGTTTTGTGGTCATGTTGATAAAAAAAGACAAGGTTGCAGATATGCATGTGGGTGGTCAAACTGCTACTCAGAACACCTTCAATAAGTGGAATGAGGGAAGGGGATGTTTGCATGAATGAAAAGCCTTTGTGCTCCCTTCACAAAAGACCTAGGTGAACATTACAGAGGCTTAAGTGACAAAATGTATTCTCTCCCAAGTCACTGTTAACATGAAATATTGCTAAAGTAAAGGGCAGGAGGGAGGGAGAGGGTTGGTAGGGGCAAGCGCCAGCACATACATGAAGACCTCGCCCCTCTGCTCATTACGCTCAGGAGATCACATTATGGCGCTAGCCATTGTCCCACTTCTTCAAGACAAAGCCTGTTCCACTGTGCAAACAGCGCGCCTTGGAAAGATTGTAAAAACAAGAGGTGAATGTCAAAGGCAGAAGTGAATAGGATCTCTCCCCTCTTTTGTCAAGCTGGTAAGGTATGCACAAACACATCACTGCGTGACAGAGAATAAAGAAGGGCCTTGTGAGGGAAGGAGCCAGAAAAAGTTGAAGCGTCTTCAAATGAAAAGGCCAATACCGTGAGAAGTCCCCTGCTTGACTCCTGAGTCTATAGAAAAACTCCTCCAAAAGTATTTGGATGAAAGACCCCCAAAACACACAGAAGGCATTACGCTAAAAACAAAA